CAGGGCGCGGCTGGAGACGGAGCAGAAGCCCCGGGGCGCCGCTCCGCTCGGGGCGGGTCACTGAGCTTCGCCAGAAGGGCCCGGACCGCGCAGGGGGAGCGGTGCCCGCAGTCTCCGTCCCCCTTCGGTTGAAGCAAAATGCAGGACAATGTAGCACTGTAAAGACTAACAAGATGGTTTATTAGATGATGAGCTTTCGTGGGAGGAAGTGGGTCTGGCCCACGGAAGCTCATCATCTAATAAACCATCTTGTTAGTCTTTAAAGTGCTACATTGTCCTGCATTTTGCTTCAACTACCCCAGACTAACACGGCTCCATTTCTATCACTATTCCCCTTCGGGCGCTGCTTTAGCCACGTAACTGACCCCTGAGCAGTAAAGAAGGTGGATTTGATAGGAGCGAAGAGCAAACGTGTCTTGCTCAGTAGCAGCCCGCTCGACGGAGGTGCCGCTTTCCAGAAATAGGTTTTGGGTTTTATTGCCGGACTCCCCCAGTCACCTTCCTTGTGATTCGTAAGGGCGATGCAAACACCGGCGTTACCGTGAGATTTTACATGTAGCTGGATCTTAGTGTTTCCAAATGCGTAGCCATGGCTTTAGTAACAATGTGGGAGGCTCCGGTAACCACACCCAGAGAAGCACAAAGGCTCTGACCCGACAGGTATCCCTGCTTTGGAGTCAGAGTTAGGGACCAAGAACAGCTGATTTGTCAGACTACTTCATTCGCTTCAAAAATACTTTCTTGTGTGTGTCTGCAGTTTCTCAGCCCAGAATCTCTAACCCGGGTCACCTTTGCTGTACTTGAAGCCTGTCTATATTTTTCTGCAATGAAGTAGTCCTATTGTCAGCAGTTTTACAATACTATATATTGCCTTCTGTGGAGCCACAGAGTTTATTTTCTTCCCATGGAATGTGTGGGCTGTTCCTCTTAATCTGCTCGGCTGTATCTACACTGGCATGAATTTCTGGAACTGCTTAAAACGGAATACTATTCCGTTTTCAGTTTTTCCGGAAAAGGAGCATCTACATTGGCAGGCTGCTTTCCCGGAAAAGCCCTTTTTCCAGAAAAGCGTCTGTGGCCAATGTAGACGCGCTTTTCCAGAAAAGAGCCCCGATCGCCATTTTCGCGATCGGGGCTTTTTTCCAGAAAAGACTACTGGGCTGTCTACACTGGCCCTTTTCCAGAACAGTGTTCCGGAATAAGGACTTATGCCCAAGCAGGAGCAGAATAGTTTTTCCGGAATAGCGGCTGATTTTGTACAGTAGAGCCTCGTTGCTTTTCCGGAAATTCAACAGTGTAGACAGCTCGCAGCTTATTCCGGAAAAGTGGCTGATTTTCCGGAATAAGTGGCCCAGTGTAGACACAACCCTCATGTTTCAGGGACCTCACATCAAAGAGAAGTAAAAATCTTCTTATCCCGTTCTCTTCTGTTGTCTACACACTATAGAGACACATCTACCATGCCCATATTCTAATCCGTCCGAATGTGTTTGTAATAGAGCTGTATTTTTGTTATTTCCCAGTTCACGCAACTGGTTATATGAAAAGAAAGGGACTTGGTATCTCTGTGAGGAACCTTGCATGTTGATTTAGCTGGGTTACCATGGCAAAGTCCTAGGGGAGAGAGAGAAATGCATAAAATCTGTGAGTGCAGCTGAGAGACTTCAAAGACACATTCAAATGTTTTAATCAGAGAACACTAGAACTGGAAAGGACCTTGAGAGGTCATCAAGTCCAGTCACCCGCCCTTGTGGCAGGACCAATAGGTTTTAAGAGCAGGTTTGTCTAACCAGCTCTTAAAAATCTCCAGTGACAGAGATGGAGGTGCCACAACCTCTCTGGGCAGTTTATTCCAGGGTTTAACCAACCTGGCAGGAAGTTTTTCCTAATGTCCAGCCTAAGCCTCCCTTTCTGCAGTTTAACCCCATGCTCCTTGTCCTGTCGTCAGAGGCCAAGGAAAACAATTGTTTTCCTTCCTTGTAATACTAACACCCTTTTAGATACTTGACAACCACTACCACGTCCCCTCTCATCTTCTCTTTTCTAAACTAAACAAGCCCAATTCTTTCAGTCTTCCCTCATAGCTCATGTTTTCTAGACCTTTTCTTTAAATGTGCTGCCCAGAACGGGACCCAATCCTCCAACTGAGGCCTGACCAGCGCAGAGTAGAGCGGAAGAATGACTTCTCGTGTCTTGCTCACGACACTCCTGTTAATGCCTCCCAGAATCATGTTTGCTTTTCCTGCAACAGTGTCCCACCTTTGACTCATGTATAGTTTGTGGTCCATTAATTAATTAAAACTACTTAAATCCTACTTATTGCCTCTGTGTCCAGTTTTAGAAAAGGCAGGCAGTTAGCAATGCTTTCTCTCTAGTAGGGACATTAATGGGTAACCAAGTGGTTCAATGGAAGGGCTGCACTAGCTCTGTTCCCTCCCCCACCCGCAGGACTGTCAGCAGGAGCAGCTGTGGCAGCACATGTGCAGGAACCAGGGTGGCAGTGGCAACCCCTGCATGGGGGTTAGGAGCTGTGGTGGCAGCCCCCACATGGGGCCAGGAGCAGCCCCTGCTTGCAGCAGGGCCACTCTAGCCCAACCCCCCACCCACTTGTCTTTAATTGGTTAAATGCAGTGTCTGTGCCGCGTTTAATTCTTTCACCAATTACACGGGATTTTACATCCCTACTCTCTAGAAAGAACATCAGCTTGGAGCAGAAATGGTGGGAACACGGGAAAGTTCTATTCTGAACGTCACTGTGCAATCCTGATTATCATTTGACTGAAGTCTGCGGGTGAGATTTGCACTTAGAACTTGGACATGTGTTTGAGGGAAGGTGGGTCTGCTTGAGCCTGGCCCCCATCGCTACGTAAGCTGAGTGGATCATGACGCTGGCAGAGCTGACTGTAACGCTGCAGAATCTCTGTGCATCCTTGGATATGAAAAGTCTGATAATGAACCCTCTGTGTGTGTGTGTGTGTGTACCTTTTCTCCATCCCGTGAGTTCAGAGGCTTGGTGAAACACACAGGAGGCTGTCACTGTGGAGCTATCCGCTTTGAGGTTTGGGCATCAACAGATCTGCATGTTTTCAACTGCAAGTGAGTGGTTTTTATGTATTTATCCCGCCTGTGCCCCCTGTCTGAATAGCCATACACTTTGCCTTTCTCTAGCACTTCCCACCTAACCAGCTCAAAGTGTTTACCAAACAGAATTCCAGTGGAAGTTCAGATAGCAGCGGGACAGATGTCTTATCTAGTTTCTGTAGGTTGCATCTCTGGCTGAGTTCAGCGCCACCACGAGGTCAGTACGTGTGATTTTAGGGACTGGTTCTGCAAGTGCTCAATGTGCCGAGTACCTGAGAAAAGAAGGGGAGTGCATTTCTACTGGCAGGGCCGCACAGAGGTAGCATTGTGCTTTCATTATGCCCTGGCTGAAGCTGTAGCGAACGCTGCAGTCGTCTGGGAGATAAGCTGTGCTTGGGAAATGGGTGGGAGAACTGGGAGACTGGCAGTGTTGGGATTACAGGCTTCTTTACTGAGGTTGCTACTAGGTGTGTGATTTCACGTAGTTGCAGCAGATGGTTGAGGATGGGATCTGCCTCTGATAGGTCAGAATCAGAGCACGTTCAGAAAAGTCCAAGAAGGTCCCAGGTTTTGAACTTTGTGGAGCACTAGCTTTGGCGCTATTTCAAGGGCCAATGAAATCCAGAAGAGAAATCCCATTGCCGTCAACTGGATTTTTGGATCAGCGCTATCTGGGTAAGTACCAAATGTCCTTCGTGCAAGTGGAAATTCAGGCCAGAGTGACTTGTTCCTTTCCATTTGGGAAGATGTGATGATTATTACATAGTCTCCAGTTAATGATCACACAGACTTCCTCTGAGGGCCTGGAACATCAGTACACTTATACCTCAGTTTCCTCAGCACACAACAGAGACAGGAATCCTGCACATCTTGTAGGGATGCTGTGAACCTAAATATGTTTCCTATTTGTAAAAAGCATACTGAGATCCTGAATGGAAGGTTCTAAACCCACACAAGGAATTGTATTTAGTGTTATTAACGATATCTTACATATGTACAGCATTTGCCTGTGGAAGCCTTTTACACACTTCCTATACGTACAGGAACCACTTCCCCCGCTACTAGAATGTAGCTATACCTGGAGTAAAACATGGCAGATGTTTAACAGGATTCTTCACAACCGGGAGAACAGAGTATCAGTGCCACAGGGGACTGCAGAGGGAAGCGTAGGTAAGCAGAGTGCAAAACTTCCACTGGAATTCTGCTCTAGTCTCATGATTCACACTCGTGCTCATTCACACTCGTTCTCAAGTTTGTAATGACCGGAAAGGCTCAGGACCTCTACTTCATACGTCATCCAAATGCTTTAAACAGCAAGCACGGGCACTTCGATCCTCCTATCAAACGGAGAACACATCACACCATCAGCATGTGGGGAGGGATATATATTCAAATGTCGGTATGGCCTTTCTCTAGACTCAGAACTAGTTTCTTTCTAGCCCAAATGTCACTACCAGTCGGTTTCCCTTATTTGCAATGTATTTAATCTTAGTACCATTGGGATTAAGTTGGCAAACTCTGGCCTGTAAGACTACATGGGTTTCTCAAGGCCACAGGTTAGCATTGATCTATCCACAGAGAGTTGTACCATGGAGAGAAGACTGTTATATAGCTCTCAGGCCTGGTCTACGCTACAGTGGAAGTTCTAATCAAGATATGCAACTCCAGCTACGTTAATTATGTAGCTAGAGTCGTGACATATCTTAAATTGAGTTTCTGCGCTATCTGCACAGTGGGAGGCTGTTGGGAGCAAATACTCGTATCAGCTTCCCTTACTCCTGTGAGAAGCAGGAGTACCAACATCAATGGGGATGCCCTCTGAGTTTGACTTAACGGGTCTTCACTAGACCTGCTAAATCAAACTCCGGAAGATCGACAGCGTTCATCTTCCACGTAATGTAAACATGGCCTCAGTGCAGATAAGCTTACTTTCCATATTGCAGGGAAATATAAGCCTTTAGACCAGGGGTTCCCAACCTGGGGTATGTGTACCTCCAGGGGGTATGAAAAGCTTGTCAAGGAGGTATGGGGAATATTTGGTAAATAACTAGATTATCCTAATTGAAATATTCCAAAAGTAGCAGTGTTAGTGAAAAAAGTTGTGGATTCTAGAGCCTAGAATTTATTTCCTTTCCTATTGAATAGGGTGTATGGGAAGGTTTACTAAAAGCCAAGGGGGCACGGGGACCAAAAAAGGTTGGGAACCCCTGCTTCAGACTGACTGCATGTCTACACATAGTTGCAGTCTGTCCACTCCCTTTATCCACCCTGATGTTTGCAATGTTGTTGTGGACACATTGGTCCCAGGATATTAGGAGCGAGACAGCATGGGTGAGGTCACATCTTTTATGGGACCAACTTCCACTGAATCTCTTGTCTCATAGCCAGGTAAAATAATTCTAGCTGTCAGTGCAATCTAGCTTGGTGAGAGCTCTTTGCTAGATGCAATTGTTACATTGAAGGTTATAGCTGCCCAAAGCCTCGTCACGTGTCTCTGTTTTTCTTTCCCCTCCTATAGCTGCAGTATCTGTACAAAGAAACAAAACAGACACTTCATTGTTCCGGCTTCACACTTCAAGTTGCTGAAGGTAGGTTAGGGCACAGGAGGGCACTGGGGGCGGGCGCCTGTCCGAGCACTTGATTCTGAAAGGTCCCAGAAGTGGGCAGCTTTGAATCTTAAATTTGCCTGTCTGCCTGGAGAGATAAAAAGTCCCTTCGGAGCCAGGCTGTGTCTCCGATTGGGACATTCAGTAGTGGCAGCAGCACCAGGTAAATGTGCTACGTCCACGTTACATTGATGGCAGCAAAGTGCATGGCTGTCACACTCCTGATCTCAATGGAGCCAGAGCTCGGCCCGGTGACTGGTCCGGCTGTGGCTTGGATCCAAGCGCATTGCTCTCAAACATTCTGCCTCGATTTTAGCTCAGCTCCAGGTTCCTGTAACTTGACCATCGACTTAGCGTTTTAAAATGTTAATTCTTACCAGGGCATCTTCCAGGTTAGGCTCTTGGATTCCAAGTTTTTGAGGACTGTGGCTTTTAGATTAATTTTCCTTATATTCGCCCCATTTAATTTGATTTTCTTTTGTAGTTGGATGGACTCCGATAATCACATTAATCCCTCCATTGCTTCTGTGAGGAACCCTTCCCCTGCGTTATGTTTACTGTGGAGCAGTTAAAAGAAACCTAAGTGCTTTATTATAGACCGTCTGTAACAGATAGAATGGGTGGTCTATAATAAAGCACTAAGGTTTCTTTTAACTGTTCCACAGTAAACATAAAATGGGCACTGAGTGATCAGCAAGTAAAGCCAAGACAATTGTTAATCAGAGGGGAAAGAAGTGCAAGAAAACAAAGCACGTAGGGTAGAGAAAGGAGATTAACACGGGAACTGAGTAGCAAGCCAGCAGTACTTTTAACTCTAACTCAAGTAGAGATACAGAGGGTGGGTTTTTTTAGACTAGTCTTAATTAGGCTTATATTTTTGTGCCTGAAGTTTCACATTCGTTAGTTACAAGCCTGTGGAATATAAGTGATAAAAAAAAATCCATTTCTGGGTACTTGTCAAACCATGGTGTATTTGTTTTTGTGTAGGGTGCAGATAACATTACAACATACACCTTCAACACCCGCCAGGCCCAGCACACCTTCTGCAAGACCTGCGGTGTGCAGAGCTTCTACACGCCTCGTTCTAACCCAGACGGTTACGGTAGGTAAGCAGAACAGGGACGAGAGCTGGTAGACATGGCAACACGCATTCACCACCAGCTGCAGTTGTGCAGTGATCATGGTGACCAAGTGCATAGCACAATCGTGCATCATGCCACTTACTTCTAAAGTACTGAACATTCGAAACTTTCAACAGGGGCTCCTTAATGTGTAAATCTGAATTGTGGCCCAGGGGCCACTGTCCATGGAAGGTTTCTTACCTGGGTAAACCCCTCTCTCCTCCCTGGGATACTCGGGAGCAGGCCACGCTCCGTGTGCCTGGGCACCGGATGGTTTTAACGTAAGAGGAGATCCTGTGTACCCCAGGGGGGATGTTGATAGTTGGGGATCCCCTGTCCACCCCCTTGCTGCAGTCTCTTGCTCCTAAAGCAGCTGGCCCCTGTACACACTTACTGGTGTGCCTTGGAAGCCTCCAGAAATAAACGTATTCCAGTAATAATCTGCATCTAACTCCAAAACAACAATTATACAGCTGATGGATGCTATTAGAATTAACCCACCTTTTCTTAACAACTTAAAGAAACAGGGTTAAACAAACAAAGTGAATAAAATCAATCGAAGTGCACAGAAACAAACGAAACTTCTCGAAGTGGCATTTACCCTGCCACCATGTATCCCACCCCAGAGGGGGCCCTCCTCTGGATCTGAGTCCCAGACGCTTGCGTGGGGCGTGCCTGAGGATCTGCAGCTGGGGTGGAGATGGCCCTGTGCAGGGTGTGTGTGTCAGTCCAGGCAGCAACACCTGCAAAATCCCTCTGCCGCTGGAGCAGGCCCCACCGAATGCCAGCGGCTCTGGTTTCCTGGGCCGATCGCTCTGCCTCTCTGGGCCCAGAACCAGTCTGTCTTCTGTGCAGGCTGCACTTTCCCAAAGAGCCCCAGTTACTCACAGAGCCTTCTGTGCAGGCCCTCCCCTGCCACAGGCACCTCCAGGGACAATCACCGCAGCCCCTGAAGCAGCCTGCTCCATCCAAGCCCCAGCAGGCTCTACTTCCAGAAGTAGCTCCTGGCCTGGAAAAGGCTCCACACCGGCAATCTGGCTCCTCCCCCCAAACTGAATCCCCTACTCTCCCTGCACTGCCTGAGAGAGCAACAGTTTCCCTCTCTTTTCCCAAGGGCTCATGGGAGTTGTAGTCTCTAGGGTGAGATTACAGCGCAAAGGATCCTCCCAGTAACAGTCAGAGGCTCCTATAGTAAAAGGAGCCTACACCTGCTGCAGCTGTAGGGACAGCATTACCACCTTCTCAGATGCACTGTCCATGAAACAGAGGAGAGCTCGCCTTGGCTTCAAAGGGAGAGTTTCTCTCTCTCTCTTTTCCCTTTTCTCCAGGAATTGCTCCCCACTGCCTGGATGAGGGCACCGTGCGCAGCACCACCCTCGAGGAGATCAATGGCAAGGAGTGGGAGAAGGCGGTGAAGGAACACAAGACCATCAGGAGCATGTCAAAGCCATGATGTAGCCTCTGTGCACAGAAATACACAGCTTAGAGCACCGACACTGGCAGGCCACCATGTAACCACTTAGGTCGAGCTCCCCGCGGCCGAGCTGCTAGGGAAGTTTCTTTTCTTTTGCTTTTTTAAATAAATCGCTTGTGCTGCCTGCTGCCCCCCTTTCATTTTATAGTCAGTTGGCAGGCCACACCTTTCCTAACCTACTCCCCAGCTGGGATTTCTCCTCTGCCGTATTCTGACACTTGGGCCCTGTTCAAATCACATTGGTCAGAACAAGGTTCTTACCTCGGTTGCATGATTCCACCACAGTCTTTGGCTAGTGCAGACACATCCCAGTTGTGGTGTTATCTGGTTTGCACAACTGCACCACACGAAGTAATGCCTCCCTCCCAGGGAAAAAAAAGCTCTGTTCTTCTAAGCCTTCCATTGACTTCACTGAAGTTACTCTGGGTTTAGAGCTATTCCCGGACGTCGACGCTGACGTAACAGGCTCAGACTGAGCGAAATTCTTAGCTTTAACTTTAAACACGAGAGTAATGCCCCTGAGGTTAATGCATGTGCCTAAGTGCTCTGCTGAATAAGGATGGACTTGCTTACGGGCTGTGTTTTTAATACCGAGAGTACAGTTCTGGCCTAGTCTCTTTCTAAGAGCAGTGTCTGAGAGGGTGTTGGGGTTTGAGTAAGGGATGAGGAGCCAGGAACTTGAGCTCTGACCCTGGCAGATTTACATACCTATCTCTACAGATGCTGTGAGTAATAACTGATGATGAGAGCAGAGGGCTGTATAAATGCTGAGTATTTAGCTTGCGCCAGGGTGACAGTCCTTTCAGATTCCAGTTATTACTAAGGTCTCTGTGTAGACTTAAAAATTACAAATATTTGAAAACTGGCTTCTCTGTCACTTACCTGCTGAATGTGCAGGCTGGAGAACCCAGAAACCCCCTCCCCCCCGGCAAGCTAAGAAGAAGGGGGCAGCTGTTCAAATGGTACATCAGGAATTTTTAGGTCTATATATTTAGACTGTCAAAGAACTGGCTGGCGCCTTTCTCACTTGTAACTTCATTCTTACACCTGCACATGCTGGTGGAAAACAGGTTCGGTTCAGTGGCTCTCCGAGACTTTGGAAGCAAGAATCAATGTTCGTGTTTCATGAGGTCCAGTCCAGAGTGAAGCTCACACCACAGGATGGCTGGGAGACTCGAGATGGAAAGAGCAATAAGATTTCAGTGCAATTATAATACTGTGTCATTTTAAATATTTTATTCCTAAAGTTTTGGCATTTCAGAGTCAGGAAGCCAGCCCTCCCTCAGCAGCAGGAGGTCCGGAGCGGTTTGGCGTTACAGCCAGAGGGCTGTGAGGATTCTGGTTCAAACCCAAGGGACAGTATCTTTGGACAAATCACTGTTAGTGCTTGACCTTCGCAGCAAAGGAAAAAGGGTAAAAGTCAGAATCACGAGGTGGTGATCGGGGCTTGGTCTCCTTAGGGAGACCTGTTGGTAAAGCCTATACAGTACATGATGTATCGTAAATATCTCCACGACTCTATTTCCCCACTAATCAGACTCAGAGCAGTCGGATTTGCTGGTGGTCTAAGACCACTGACGCTATTACAAGGGGACAGTTCAGTAAGTGGTGGAGCCAGGCATCTCCCAGGCAAAGGGAGTCCAGAGGGAGGTAAATACTGTCTGGTTCTGCAGTCCGAAAGCTGCAGGGCACACAGGAGGTGGAGTTTGGTCGTCTCCTTGAGACAGCGAGGAAGAGCTTTCCGTAGTGCTTGGTTGGGCAGAGCCACCCTGTCCTTTGGCTCCCGTCTCGGTCTCTCAGTACCCCTGGAAATGCGTCTGATTCTCCTTTCCCCTCACAGAAGGGCAAGTGAATTGATCACCATAAAGCGTGAGAACAGCAGGTAGACGTAGCGGAACCAGAGCAGCTGGCTGTGATGGCACCTCATGGCTCGCTAGAAAGATAAAAACATGCCAGACAGCATTAGCCCTTCCAAGGCCCCTCAGCAGACAGGCCTGCCCGGAGCGCTCGCTGCTAGCTTCGCAGTGGAACCAGTCTCCAGGCCCCCCAAAGCCCAGCAGAGGCAGCTTAGCAGCAGCAGGCGTTGGACTAAACTCAACCAGCGCTAGACTGAAACAACGGGACTATTGGCAAGTGGGTGCAGGTGACCAGAAGTTGCTAGTTGAGGCCCATTTCATGCATTTACAGGACTGCTGGGGGGCAGGGAGGCAACTACCCTGGGCCCAGCAATTCAAAAAGGCCTGGGGCTAGCGGCTGCCACTAGTGCGGCAGCAGTGGTGCCTGGACCCCATGCCCTTGAAATGCTATACAGTGTGCTCCAGGTGGGACTGAAGGCCGGGCGGAGGGGCACCGTGTGGCCCAGGCGGTGCTAAGGGGGAGGGGGCACACTGCAGTCTGGGTGGGAGAGGCTACACTGGTCCGGGCGATGCTCAGGGAGAGGGCGCACACTGTGGTCTGGGCAGTGCTGAGGGGGAGGAGGAGCACTACAGTCTGGGCGGAGCTTGGGGGGAGAGGATACACTGGGCCGGGCGATGCTGAGGTCTGGGAGGGAGGGGGCACACAGCAGTCCAGGTAATGCTGAGGGCTGGCTGCCTTCTGGTAGTGGGGGGCCAAACCTCCCCCCAACTTTGCCCAGGGGCCTGGCAAGCCTGTCAGTCCCCCTGTGCATTTATGACATGCCAGTTGGAAGGTGAGTGGGAAGGGTGGACTCCAGGCTCGAGCAGCACAAGTAACCAGTGGTGCCCTTCTGGCTTGAATTATCGGAGGTGTTTGGGGAACTTTCTGCCGTCCCCTCCCAATGCGACAGTGCGGTGGGTGTTGCGTGTGGGTTAGCAGCACTGCTGGCTCTGTAACGTTGAGTGTACGGCGGGGGGAGCACAGATTTCACACAGCAGAATGACCCAATGTTGGCCCTAGGACAGGGCAACTTGCCAAGAGCCTGCTGACCCCACTACTCATGCAGTGCAGGGAGCAGACCAGGACAGGATACTGCAGGCTGGGAACTGTACTCTCTACCTACAGTTGCTGTATCAAAGATAAGGCCAAGTCTACACTAGGGGTGTGTCTAAACTACATGCCTCCGTCGACGGAGGCATGTAGATTAGCCAGATCGGCAGAGGGAAATGAAGCCGCGATTAAAATAATCGCGGCTTCATTTAAATTTAAATGGCTGCCCCGCTCTGCCGATCAGCTGTTTGTCGGCAGATCGGGGCAGTCTGGACGCGCCACGCTGACAAAGAAGCCTTTCTTGATCGGCACAGGTAAACCTGGTTTCACGAGGCATACCTGTGCTGATCAAGACAGGCTTCTTTGTCTGCGCGGCGCGTCCAGACTGCCCCGATCTGCCGACAAACGCCACAAAAACTTGACCTAAGGTACATCGACTCCAGCTACACTATTCACGTAGCTGGAGTTGCGTATCATAGGTTGACTTTCTCCCCTAGGGTACGTCTAAACTACATGCCTCCGTCGACGGAGGCATGTAGTTTAGACGTACCCTAGGGGAGAAAGTCAACCTATGATACGCAACTCCAGCTACGTGAATAGTGTAGCTGGAGTCGATGTACCTTAGGTCAAGTTTTTGTGGCATCTCCACTCCATGAGGTCGATGGGAGAAACTCCCCCGTCGACTTCCCTTACTCCTCACGACCCGGTGCAGTACTGGAGTCAATGGGGGTGCCATCAGTGGCTGATTTAGCAGGTCCTTACTAGACCCACTAAATCGAACCCAGGAGATGGATCTCTGCAGCATGGAGACAAGCCCTAAGTGTACACTTTGGCCGCCTAACGTCTAAGCTGCAAAGCTGCAACCCTGCCATTTGAATGACATATAGCGCAACTGGTCTCGACAAGCAAATAGTCCTAAAAGCAAGTCCACGACTGTTGGGAATGTGCAATTACCCTCCACGGGCAGCACGTGTATTAATAAGTTTTACACTTTGGGTTGAAGCCCCCTCAATGATTCTGAAATGCCCCACCCGGTGGGGCGGGAACAATGCATCTCACCATGGCTCGTTCAGACTCCTCCTTTGTTAGTATGAAGAGAACATCCCGGGATTGGAGGCAGCTAATGGGCACGTCCAGGACGGAGATGTACTTCCGGAGGAGGTTTACTGACTTGAGCGCAAGGACCCGGCACCCTGAGCAGAGAAAGAGGAGAAAGAATGCAAGACAATTACAAATGCACGGCCCCGCGGGGGTAGGCACAGCCGCCAGGCTCCTGTCTGTCTGCCCCCCGGAGTCCAAATTCTGTCTACCTACTTTTGGGCCGTGCAAATTTCTATTCAGTTCTCTCTGCTTCTTAGCTCTTCTGCTGAGGTCAAACACGGATTCCCAAGAAGACCCTGGGTCTGAAGGGTGAATGTCTTATTACAACCTCGGTTCTTTCTGAACTTGGGCCCAGCACTGTTCCCATGGGAAAGCCTGCCAACCCTGTCTCGTGCAGGTAGTTAGACAAGCACCCTCGGTTCATTTGACGGGACAGATGCTTTGCTGCAGAAATGAGTGTTTCCGGGTTCAAGGAGGACTGCATCAGCTCTTATCCCAGGCAGGTGAGTTCATGCTAGCCATCTCCTGGACGTTTGTCCTGCAGGAGTGAAAGGAGCATGAAGAACGGGGGCTCGTTTCTTTCCCCTGTGTCTAAGGACTCTCTGAACTCAAAAGTTAACAGGTGAATTTATTTCATGGCTAACCTGTGTTTGCTGATGGTGCCATTAAGGAACCGGAGCTCTTTGGAAGTACCTGGAGATTACCTGCCACTCCAGAGGCTGCAGTTATGCTCCCTGATCAGGCATTTGAGAGTGACAGATGAGAACGGAGTCGTTGTAGGATTTGCAGTCAGATGCAATGCACTGGGCCCCTGCCGTCTGAATGAAACCGGGAAGGGAGGGCGCAAAGGGAAGGCCGAACTGTCACAAAGTCTGTGTCGCTTTAACCCCGGAGACGCCAAGACTGCATGTGTCATGCTGCTGTCGTGAGGACTGAGCTCCCTCCCCCTTGGCCGCCTGCCCTGACGCGGCCCGAGGATCACAAAGCGAACAAGAGGGAAGTGGGAGGTTCTCTCACAAATGGGAGTCGCTCCCCGTTTGCTGAGGCTTGACTGACTCAAGACGGAGAGAGAAGAGACCCCCTCCTCCTGAAAGACCCCAGGGAACGTGCATTTGCCATTCTTGGGGGGCTGCCCTTGTGCTGTGAGTTCTTACTAAGCGGCTGGGACACTCCCACTGATTTCACACGTTAGTTTCACTAAAACCCATCCCAGTGGCTCAGGGCCAGGGTGGGAAAGCAAGAGCTCTTGTTTGTGCCCAGCGCGGGCTAGCTGTGGGATTCCCGGAGAGACAGGGAGAAGCCACGCAAAGGTCTCCACTGTGGAGAACGAGGGAGCAGCCTGTCGGTATGACGTTTAGAAGGAAGCTGTGGAATATTCTGAGGACCAAAGAACGGAGACGAGGCAAGACCCCCAACTTTCTCCAGCCTCACAAATGAGGTGGTGCGTGTGCTTGACCCTATTCCTACGAGTGGCACCACCCCACTTCCTAGTTTTGCTCTTATTTCATCAGAGGTCATCAATGAAAGAACATGGCCTTTTCCTTTCCTACACCCTCCTTCCAGGCCCCTCAATTCCTCTTCCTCTCTCCAAAGGAAAGGTGAAGGGATTTTCCCTACCGTACCTCCTCTATTTCCTTTTCTACAAGAACCCTAATTGTTCCTGCTTTTGCATTAGACCCCGCTGATGAGATGATTTTCTGCCTAGGTTATGACCAAAGCTTGGCCAACACAATCTAACTAGATCAGCATTAACCTCTCTCCCAGCCTTCTTTCTGGAAGGGTTTGCAGCTGCATTGCTCCCGCGGGCTCAGTCGCTGGCAGGCTCGAGAGAGCAGAGAGAGCTCTCAGCAATACCTTCCGCAGCTTTGGGGGCAGAGCTAGTGGGTCAGAGGGCAATGGAAGGTTTCTGCCCTAACCCAATGGCACTAGAGTAGAGAGTGCTCCAAGGTAGCTGATCTGGAGTTTTCCTAGAAGTTCGCAAGCTGCTGCGGGCTCTGAGGTGAGGGAGGAAGGCTGAGGTTAGTCTGCACTGTAGCAGATAAGGCAGAGTAAATATCGTCTAGATTAAGGAGATTGTTGATACGGACATTAGAAAACGAGCCAGGTCCTAAAGAGACGCTTCCAGCAGATGGCGCTCTCCAATGGTAATCGCAGATGGAAGAAAGCAGCCCCCAGCTACTAACTAGAGCTCCAGTGAGCCGGCTGGCAGCCCCCAGGTACTAACTAGTGCTCTAGTGAGCCAGCCGGCAGCCCCCAGCTACTAACTAGTGCTCCAGTGAGCCAGCCGGCAGCCCCCAGCTACTAACTAGTGCTCCAGTGAGCCAGCCGGCAGCCCCCAGCTACTAACTAGTGCTCCAGTGAGCCAGCCGGCAGCCCCCAGCTACTAACTAGTGCTCCAGTGAGCCAGCCGGCAGCCCCCAGCTACTAACTAGTGCTCCAGTGAGCCAGCCGGCAGCCCCCAGCTACTAACTAGTGCTCCAGTGAGCCAGCCGGCAGCCCCCAGCTACTAACTAGTGCTCCAGTGAGCCAGCCGGCAGCCCCCAGCTACTAACTAGTGCTCCAGTGAGCCAGCCGGCAGCCCCCAGCTACTAACTAGTGCTCCAGTGAGCCAGCCGGCAGCCCCCAGCTACTAACTAGTGCTCCAGTGAGCCAGCCGGCAGCCCCCAGCTACTAACTAGTGCTCCAGTGAGCCAGCCGGCAGCCCCCAGCTACTAACTAGTGCTCCAGTGAGCCAGCCGGCAGCCCCCAGCTACTAACTAGTGCTCCAGTGAGCCAGCCGGCAGCCCCCAGCTACTAACTAGTGCTCCAGTGAGCCAGCCGGCAGCCCCCAGCTACTAACTAGTGCTCCAGTGAGCCAGCCGGCAGCCCCCAGCTACTAACTAGTGCTCCAGTGAGCCAGCCGGCAGCCCCCAGCTACTAACTAGTGCTCCAGTGAGCCAGCCGGCAGCCCCCAGCTACTAACTAGTGCTCCAGTGAGCCAGCCGGCAGCCCCCAGCTACTAACTAGTGCTCCAGTGAGCCAGCCGGCAGCCCCCAGCTACTAACTAGTGCTCCAGTGAGCCAGCCGGCAGCCCCCAGCTACTAACTAGTGCTCCAGTGAGCCAGCCGGCAGCCCCCAGCTACTAACTAGTGCTCCAGTGAGCCAGCCGGCAGCCCCCAGCTACTAACTAGTGCTCCAGTGAGCCAGCCGGCAGCCCCCAGCTACTAACTAGTGCTCCAGTGAGCCAGCCGGCAGCCCCCAGCTACTAACTAGTGCTCCAGTGAGCCAGCCGGCAGCCCCCAGCTACTAACTAGAGCTCCAGTGAGCCGGCCGGCAGCCTGCTTTTCAGCACATTCAGCGTGTTGGAGCCGTGCCATGGACCTGGGGCCCATGCTGGTGAAGAGGCGGCAATCCAGGGGAAGGCCAGCCTGGTAGAGGTCACCATGCTGTCCCTGCAGCAGGTGGCTGGGGCAGAGGGGCCTGATGTCGGTAAGGCTCTAACCTCACTCCAGACCCGCGTTTAACTTCCGGCTCATCGCCCCGGTCGCTGCCGGCGCCGCGGGAAGCCTTGGGGGCCGCTCCATGCTGCGAAGGCAGCTCCCACGGAAGGGACGGCCTTGCGGCTTGAAGGGGCTGGGTGGGGCGGAACGTGGCTTCCCTTCATTTACCCCCAAGAAAGCCAATTATTCTGCTGCTCTTTCACCCCAGGACTTGTGGAGCCTCCTGAAATGGCCCTGGAGAGCTGCAGGCACGTGCCCTGTGCGTGTGCAATCCAGCAACACCCACCCAGTCTGTAATCCCAGCTACGGAGACTCAAGAAAGCCTGGCCCCTCGGCTCCATTCTGTGTTCAGTCAACAGGGAGGGGGGGGGACTTGCTGCTTGACCCCAGAGGCCGCCAAGTGTAGAAATCTGCTGACTGAAGGGACCTGGATTGTGCCCTGCTGCTCCACGTTCCCATCAGCCACCTGTTTGCCACTATAGTAGGGAGTGCTATAAACGGCTGTGAGGGCCTTTTCCCTTCCTGGCTGGCTCTTTCCGAGACGCGGCAGAGCCGCTGGACTCACAGCGGCAAGGCTGGAAAGAGGGATGGCCTAGGTCTCCAAGGCGGGGCGCTCTCCGGAGGAAGACTCCTGCTCCATTCCCTCAAGAAATACGAACTCGCTGTGTCCTGTGCTTCCCGGCTCGCTCCCTGCTAGGGGAGCGCAAAACCCCCTGCAAGAGCAGCTCGGGCGGCCCTGCTGGCTGACGTCCCTTAGCCCCGCATGGGAAGAACGTAGGCAGCCGTAAGGAGCTGTTTGTATCGGCGACACAACGAGGGTCGTGCGGAGCCGCCCGGAGACCCCTTCAAATGAGACCAGGCGATGAAATGAAGCTGGTAGGGAACAGCCCCGGGTGGGAAGGGCTCAGAGACTCCCAGCACTTCCTGCCAGCCAGGGGAAAAGAAAGGGACTGTCCAAGTGGAGCTACTGATGGGCCTGTTCCTGTGACTCCCTCAGGCAAAGGCCTGGGGAGGCCCCGAGGCCAGATTTACGCCGGGAGCGGTAGCGTGGCCCCGTTAGCTAGTGGAGCAGCTGCTGGAGGCCTGCAGCCCCGTGCGCTGGGCTCTGGAAGGAAGCAGGCTCTTAGCAGAGCTCCCTCTGGCAGTTTGCTTGCGCTGCTCCGGCTGGCTGGGATGGATTTTGGATGCTGGGTGGGGCTGACAGGACTGGTTGGGACCTCTGTGCCCCGGGGCAGTGACTGATTCCTTGCCCGAGCAGATCTGTGCGTGGGGGCAGGGGGGAGGGAGATACGGGCTGAGGCATCAGAGGCGGGTCCCCCCCCTGTGCTCTGGCTCCTGCTGTCCCATAGCGCGGACAAGAGCCTGTGCTGAGGCTACAGCGGACCAGGCCCCCGCTAGCACCCCCAGTGGTTTTAAGAGGGGCACCGCATAGTGCCCAGGGAGGGAGGGACTGACCCAGGCTAATCAGCCGGGCCTGAGTTTCCACTTGGCCACAAAACCTCACGCAGCAGTGACGCGAGTTCTCCAGCTGCTGGCACAGCAAGCCCCTCCTCACCTTCACGTTGGTGTAACTAACACCAGGCGACCCGCGAGGACGGGCGAGGGAGGCGAGGCAGAGCCCGCCAGCCGCTGTGTGCACATGGCAAGAGGCCAAGAAGCAGAACTGGGGTCCACAACCCAGCCAGGCCAAGCGCCCGGGGAGGAGAGGGCGCCGCTGAGCCGAAGCCAGCTCCCTGGGGCGGCCGGCCCGAGGCCAGGCCACAAAGGGCTGTCCGGGAGCGCGGGCGCAGGGAAAAGCACGAAAGAGCAACGAGGCGTCAGCTGCAGGTTTCGTTCGTGCTGCGAAGAGGGGGGGTATCCCAGGGGGCTTGGTCAGACTGTGGTTTGTTCCCACCCGTGTGACGTACCTTCCGGTAACTTCTCTGCTGAGCGCAGGTGCCTGTGAATTGAAACACACCATGGTGAACAGACAGCGAGGCCACACAAACCCTTCCTTAAACACAGTAAGCACTAAGGGCTCTCACACGCACAGACACAGCCTCTAAAAGCAGCTTTCTGGAGCAGACGCTGGATGTTCCCCCTCCGCCTGACACTGGACGGCGGCAGGTTTGGTTCCCCCCATGAAATGGCTCCTACTTCATCGCTGCTTCCCTTGTCCTCCCTGCAGCGTGGCTGGGGGCAGGGCACACGCCCCCGCCCCTGCCCCTGCCCAACGGGCTCGCCACCAGCTTGCGTTACAATGCAGGAAGCTCTGCAAGATGCCACCAGTTCTCGTGTTCATCAGGGTCCCTACTGGCAGCAGCTCAACAAAAATACCGGACTCACTTGCCATGACATCCCAATCCACGTCACCTCCTACTGAGAACCCCCGGCCAGTTCTATTTCTCATTTCTAGTTTCTCCATGTGTTTCCCGAACAGAAAGCTCAAAGACTGGACTGTCCGGTTCAAACCCGGACCCCTGGCCAGCCTATCAGCAAGCTGCGCGTGCGAGCCAGGCTTCCTGGCCCACGCCGGCAGGGCTCTGCACGTTTAACCTAATCCGGTCACCGCCCACAGCCATCCGGCTTTCCAGCGCTGGATCCAGACTGGGAAGAGACGCTGGTTCCAGCCTGGCCAGGGGTGGCTGCTCCCTTTTCTGCTCAGTGCCAGGCTGCAGGTTTAGCAACGTCATTCGGGGGAGAGGTGCCCCATGAGAGAGCCCAGCAGACTCTAGTTACCCCCAAAGCTGGGCCCCTCCCCCCATGGGCCTCTCAAAAGGGAAAACAAGCCCTTGAGAGAGCAGAAACGGGGCCCGAGCCCCATGCAGATCACACCGGGGCGCAATGGATCTGTGGGGCCGAGTGGGAGTCCCGCTGCAGGGCGGTTAACCCCATTCCCCTGTAACGTTCTCGTCTTTCCTGCTTCGGCGCTGCCCTTCCCCAGCGCGCAGCTCACACCAGCTAACGCTCATCACACCCTTTACATCCCTGCTGCTTCGGGCCCGGCCCGTTTCCAGCAGATGGCAGCAGGAGTTGTTACAGAGCAAGGCTGGTTCTTGCTGAAAGGAAAACCCGAATAGGAAAGGGAGGGTTGGGGGGACCTGGCTCCTTAGCCCCGAGTAAGGCTGCCAGAGGCTGGGAGCTGCTCTTGCCGGGTGTGCTGCATGTGTAAATCAACCCGGGCACAAGTGTATCGTGTGCACCTGAGTCATGTTCAACGCGCGCTGAGCTCCGGTGCCGCTGGGTGTCGAGGAAAGGGATCAGCCACACGGCACAGACAGAACAGGAAGTGCTGCGTGACGAATACACAAAGCCAAGGCAGACACTCAAGCCCTGCCCGTTCCCAACAGCAGCCATCCGGCAACCGCTGCCCAGCTACCCGCGTTCTCCCGGCAATGCTCTCCCCTTCCCCAGAGACCAAGAGCCAGGGCACGGCAGCCTAGGGAGCTGGAACCAGCCCGTGTAATTCTCCCAGTCCCCTCCGCTCCCGGTAAAGTCCCACTGGCCAGAGCCCCCTTGCTGGGCTGCCTGCCCTGGCACCCGGAGACACGAAAGGCAAAGGGATGCTTCAGGGAACGAGCAGAGCTGTCCCCCGTGCTCTGACCTGGGGCACTGCATCCCCCCCCATGTTCCGACCTGGGGCACTGCATCCCCCTCCCCCCCGTGCTCCGACCTGGGGCACTGCATCCCCCTCCCCCCCAATCCTCTGACCTGGGGCCCTGCATCCCC